TATATAGTAATTCTGGAGGGTACTGTGGACAATTTCAAATTTCTACGACGCTTGTCGGAAAAACGCGTCAGGTATCGTAACCATCTTATTATTAATCTTGAACATCGTTCTAAAAATTCGGCTCCTAAAGGACTACAATTTCATGTCAGGTCTGGTATTCCATTCGCAGATCGTGACTTCCATTCCCGCTGGAATGGCGTACTTAACAAAAATGCATGTCGATTAAATGAGGTCCTAATTGGCAACTGCCGCAAACTCCTCAAAGACATCGACAACCAAATTCACTTTAGGTCTACAAGGCTAAAAAGAGACCTTCCTATGTCTGAGTTTTAAAACAAACTCAAGATTATTGCCAAGGATTGCCTTAAGCTTTCCAAGGAACTTTCCCTGAGGAGACAACACAAATTTGGTCGAGACAATATCACTTCAACACAAGTGATCCAACCTCCGCACAATGTTTGGCTCTCACGTAAACCTAGAAGGTTCATTCGGCGCTTTAGTGATAATCCGTGCAACACCACGGATTCAGTTGTTCAAATTAACTGTCAGCTTTCCGAAGGAGAAACCAAACTCCTATCCCGAGGACTCAAATTTTGCCCAAAACCGAGGCAGGCTGACCCACAACAACTATCTTTGGATCTGGAAGCTTTCTTCTGACGTTTAAGATGCCGTGGATTTTTCGCCGATTCCGACGGCAACACCACGGATAACACGGGCAATGTTACCAAATTCAAACCTAAAAGTACCTGGAATCCCCCTAAGAATCGTTGCCCAGTTTAGAAACTTTCATTCAGGCCATTGAGGAGGACGTTAAAAACCACACTCCTAGTCCAGATTTCCGCGACAATCTCACAAAAAATGAGAGGCAGGCCATCGCCAATTTGCGTCAGCGTGATGATATTATCATCAAACCAGCTGATAAAGGCTCTGCCACTGTCGTAATGGACATTAAATTCTATGAAGAGGAGTCCTTAAGACAACTAAACAATCCTCTTCACTATCGGAAGCTCACAGAGGACCCCACTCCGGAAATTTCTAAGGAAGTGGAAAAATCTGTATTAAAGATGGTTAAAAAAGGTTCCATCGATCATAAAATTGGACCCCATCTCATCCAGGTCGATCCGGCACCAGGACGTTTCTATGTCCTACCCAAAATCCACAAAGCAGGCCATCCTGGCAGACCCATTATTTCGGGCAACGGTACTGCTACAGAAAAAATCTCTGAATATGTGGATGATTTATTGAGACCATATGTTGTTGCTCTCCCCTCGTACATTCAGGACTCCACGGACTTTATCCGCAAAATTAACCAAATTTCAAATTTACCTAATAATACTTTTCTGGCTACACTTGATGTTTCTTCATTGTATACTAATATCCCTCATGAAGAAGGTGTTAATGCGTGCATTTCAAATTACAAGCAAATTCGGGGCAAAACCCCATCTAAATCACATCTCCGTGAACTTATCATGCTGATTCTGACCAATAATAACTTTGTTTTCGGCGACGGTCATTACCTTCAAATTCATGGCACAGCGATGGGCACTAAAATGGCTCCATCTTTTGCTAACTTATTTATGGGACAATTTGAGGCAAATTTCCTGTCCCTACAGCCCAAGAAACCAGATGTTTGGTTTCGCTACATTGGTGATATCTTCATGATCTGGACCCATGGTGAAGATAGTTTGGATACGTTCCTATTGAACATTAATTCGGCTCATCCCACAATCAAATTCACTGCTAACAAATCTACAAGAAGTGTAGATTTTTTGGACATTACCGTGACCATGGAAAATGGTGCACTTAAAACTGATCTCTTCCGTAAACCCACGATAAGCATATGTACCTGCTCCCTAACAGTTGTCACCCCCCGCACTGTACAAAAAACATTCCGTACAGCCAAGCATTGCGCATGAGACGCATTTGTTCTTCGGATTTAGATTTTCAGAATCGAACAGAAGAACTATCCGGACATCTCCGGAATAGAAATTATCATCGAGGACCCATTAAAAATGCTATAAAAAAAGCAAAGGACATACCTCGTGCTCAAACACTGACGTACAAACCACGTCAACGATCGACCAAATTGCCACTGATCACTACCTATCACCCTAGGTTACCACCACTAAGGGCTATAATTCAGAAGCATATGCCCATTCTACAAATCACAGAACGTCTTAGGTCTGTTTTTCTGGATACACCGTTCATAGCCTATCGCAGACCACCTAACCTTCGTGATATATTAGTACGATCTAAATTCAAGAGGCAAACTAACTCTTACGACAACCGTAATTTGGGTAGTCATCTTTGTGGTTCATCATGCAAAACATGCTCCTTGCTTGATTCTACACAATCATTCAAGAGCAACCAAACAAACCACATATTTCG